CAGACACGGACTGGATAAAGACCCCGGTGCTTTAGTTCAGTCACCTGGGTGCGGCTTCATAGTGTTCTCACACACTTTCCACAGCCACAGTGAAATAACCTCCATCTCTCGTTTGGAATTACCCACAAACTTTTTATATGAGGGAAAGTCAAATATATAGAAGGGTGTCATGCTTCAGTGTTCTGCAGTGGTGTTCTAATCCGTCTCTTGGAGAGATTAAAACATGAGCTGGTGGTAGTAAAGCCTGATATCTAAATTATAAGGCAGCAAATTTAGGCTACAGGAAATTCCAGAGTGTTTTACAGCAGAGGTGGACCGCCACACCTGATATTAACACTGCCTCACCTGAACTAAGAGGAAATTATTACACTTGTATGAAATAAAATGAACCTTCAGAGAAAACAAACCAGCCATATTAAGCCACATATTTAATGAGAGAGGTTTCTGTTTAGACCATCATCTAGCAAAACTTATCATAAGGATCTCAGTTCAGCTCAATGGCCAAAAACCAATCCTAGTCTGGCGTATCGACATACTCTCAACATCACATGAGTGTCTTCCAGGGCACCGAGTCACTTATTAACTATTGTTGTGAAGTGATCCCTATATTTTTTATTTTTTTTTGCAGGAAACTTTTAATTGTTTTTGAAATAAAGGGAGTCAGCTGCTCCGTGTGTGATTGGCATGTGTGTTATGAAAATATTGCGAGGAGATACCATGGATACAAAAACCAAGAGTGTTCACTCCTCTCCATTTTTGCCCTTATCATTCTATCATTATCTCCTCACATATCAGGAAGGTTGAGGAGAGAGGGAGGAGGCAGCCAGGTAGGAGCTTGTACAGGTTAGGAATTCCAGGCGATGATGGGCCTCCTCCTTGCACAAACAGTGGGAAAAAAGTTTTCCATGAGGCCAAGGCTCATTCACTGAAGGAGCAGTAGAGGAGAAAAGAGGGCGGGGGGGGGGGGCTCAAACAGTCATCCCACATCCCACCCACCCCGAGGAGCATTCCACAGGACTGTCTGCTCGCCCATCATTAAGCAAGACCACCTGCTGGCGAATCAGGACCCCCATCATGTTCTCAGCAGGCCTGGCTAACCCCATTACCAGCGAGCCTCTGGACTGCTGTACGCACAGATCATAAAGAGTCAGTGGTATGTAGAGCAGTAAAATGCTACTCATTAACATCCCACAAGGACTTTTGATTGTCCAACCACTGGCTGCACTCAGCATTGCGTATTTAAATAGATGCAGCATGAAGGGACAAAGAAATGATCTTTGATGCAGCTGGTGCATGACTATGCACTGACTTCTGACTGGCTGATCTCTGCTCCTCTAAAAAGAGACAGATTTAAAAAAAAAAAAAAAAAAAAAAAAAAAAAAAGGGGGGGGGATCAAGACAGAAGGAAGAAACAGCCCTTTGTTGCTGCTCTTCGTCAGGGCCTTGAGGGAAAGACTTTGGCATCAAGTCATCAAGAGCTGAAACAAAAGCAGCTGATAAACAGAGCAAGATAGATAAGATCTCCCTGTACGCTCAACACTTCTCCATCAAGAGGGCTTCCTCTCTTCCAAACCCCCAACACCTCCTCCTTCTGTCTTTGTTGTCATTAACACAGAAAAAAAATGAAACTGACAATAAACACTGCACATACTTTTTTTTTATTTTTTTATCTTCTTACCCTTTTACAAAAATCTAGAGGACAAGGCGTTCCGTTGTGCCTTGAATTACCACTTTCATCTAATTTTACAAAACTAGAACTTCATTATTGTTTCCAAAGACACAGCAAAATGACTGTATTTCATTCCGTCTGACACATTATCTGTGAAGTCTCTGCGCGGCACAACTGTAACACAACGGTAACATTTTACTGACTGTGTGGCTGGAGGACCAAATAAAGAAAGACATCCGGTGCCAAAGGCCCTCTGCTTATCTGCCCTGGCAAGATGCAAATTCAACAGTGCACATTTAGAGTTTAAGAGTCACACTTTTTGCTATTTCAGTTTCTTATTTCAGCCACAGAAATGCCTCTGAGGGCGTCGGTAAGTAGAGATAAGGTGTAAGGAAACAGAGAGACGGCCCCTTCTTTTTCACAGTACATACGGCATACAGTATTTTAAGAGTCGGTCAGCACTGCAAGTGTTTACTGAGATCTTGTAAACACTCCTCTAGGGAGGGCCGCTCTGTGGCAGATGAAAGCCTGTAGCCAAGTGATCGCATACATGGACTGAGTGGCCCTGAAGTGCCACCGCCCAGTCCGAAGAGCACAGAGGTAGAGAGAGTGTGAAACATAACGCCTGCAGGCATCTCTCTTCGCCCAGCCCTGATCCAAACTCTTACAAATACACCACAGCAAACACAACATCCCTCACAGTCCACGTCCTCACATGTACAAAAGAAATCCTCTGTCTTTCCTTCATTCTACATCACTCATCTTATTTTCCTTCATGTCTGAGTCCTTCTCAAAACTCTCATTGGCAAGGAGCTCACACAAAGCCTTTTTTCTTCCACCTTAGACAATGCACCTCCCCACCTAGCCCTCTGCCAGGCATTCCTGAGTCTATCCTAGCTATCGAAAATGTCAAGAATGAGGGGAAAGCAGAGGAGGGTACAATGAGCACTGCGGCAGGTAGAGTCTTGTCCCGCTGCACTGACATCCCACAGTCGCCGGGGGTAGCGGTTGCATAGAACGGATGGGATCTGACTTGACTCTCTTAATTAAAACTCTGCACTGGAACAAGCCTCAAAGCTCCTTCTCCTCCGGATGAAGGCATGCCAGCTAATTATCGGAGCCAATTTCACTCCCCAAAAACCAAATACAGATTTCATGGTAGGATCTGCACCTGACAATTGTCCCTGGGTATTACTCTTTGAATGATTAGTGCATAAGAAGCTCCGCAGCCTTCCTAGGAAAAGGTTCAATCACTTCACACGTCTTTAAACTAGCTTCCTGTCTAACTTTTGCCTGATGACTTCTTGAAGAATTTCCTTACGGCTATTCCTCCAACTGTAAGGCGATATGAGAAAATCAGGTTTTGTGAAGTAAACCCTCTTCAAACACAAAGCCCCGAAACAAAAAGGGCACATTCTAGACAGTCTGTCAGAGCCAAGAAACTCCCCTTTCCTCAACAGGAGTCCAGAAAGAAGAAAAGGGGGCTGAATGAAAAGGTTAGCAGTGCACTGTTTCGTGCCTGGACAGACAAACAGAAGAAGTTTTATGTGTGTGCCAAATGCAACTTAACACTGCAAACAAGCTCCATCCATTGGAACATCCTGCCACCCAGAACTGTTCAGAGGAAAGCACCCAGAGTATAGACCCTGCAACTCCGAAACAGTGATTTCCCCAGAAAGACTTCAGCAAGGTGATTCGTGCTCTGACTCATTTCCCCCGGTGTACCCCGGCCAATCTAAGTGTTAGATTCAAACTCTGAACAGCTGCCAACATTGTCAAGCACCAGTAAAAGTTAAACAGCAGCAAGCTCGCTGCTCACTGGCATGGGGGCACAGGCTGCTACACTCTCACAGTCACGGTAGATGCTGAGATTTATTAGTCATGGCTGTATGGTCCGTCTCATAAGAGCCTGACAAATTACTTTTCAACCAAAAAAGGACTCGGAGGAATAAAATAAAGCAATAAGCCTCAATAGGCTGTGGTTTACAGTGATTTGAGAACAGCTAAGGGGCATTGTTAGGCACAACGCGGAGCTGCTGTAAAACACAGCTTTGTGTGGCTTATTGCTTTTAGGAAACAGTTACTACAAATACCTGCCAACGTTTCATAAAATAAACACACAGCAACAAGAAAATGCAATAATTTATTGATAGCAAATAATCAGTCTCCTACCAAGCGACATTCAGCAGAATGGTTGCCAAGCAACACAAAGACGCAGTGGACAGCATGCTTAAAGATTGGGGTGATTATTAACATTCATCTGTATATCACCAGTACTTGTGCAATTGTTGATGTACTGTACAGTTACGTTAGCACTGCTCTTTGCTGTTACAGGGGTGTTTGAGTCTGGACAGGTGCGTTTTAATTGTGCGGTGCCAGAAGCAGGATTAATGCTGCAGCATCTTCTCCCGCAGTAGTTTGGGCAGCAGTAAGTCACATTTATGCCACGTCACTGACATGATTAATGATACGTCAGAATTCAACAATTAAAGCAGTGATACTGATAAGAGTGCGGCCAAAGGTGTGTGTTTATACAGTATTGTACCACAGCCTCGAACGCAACTCAGCCAATCATATAATCCAAGGACTGGAACTATCTGTGTTAGAAGTATTTAATTAAGTCTTTTCAGTTAAGTTCTGATATGCAAATCAACGACAACGATGTCATCTCCACTTTTCCCTCCCAAAGACCCATTAATTTCCTACTTTCTATTCACTGTGTAGTTTAAGAATAAGTTAGTGTTTCTTCTACATTGAAGTAAAAATGGTGGGAATCGGCGAATCAGTTGTAAAACAGTATGGGAACCTGTGTAAAGCTTTTCATGTCATGTGTTACGTGAATGTAGGTGTTAAGCAGTTTCACCTCTGACTTAATAAAATGGCCAAGCCCAGCTACAGGGTGCAAAGGTCAGGAATCATCGCTTAAGCACTCAACCCCTGTGCTCAAGGTGTTTACCAGCCACCTCGAGGGTTTCGCTGGGAAAGGCTGGAGCCTCACCATGGCAACAAAGCTCCTGAAATGACTCAGGTGTCCCTGTTTCATGCAGTTCTGGGAAACTTTGACGCTGTGAGCCTGAGGCTATGTAATTTCAGCAGCCGCCAGTTTATGAAATCCTTGCCTCTTTAAGTGATTTACAATTACTGTGTCTTCAAACCACAGCATGAATCCTAAATCTCTCACACGTAACAAGCTATATTGAAACATATGACAGCAAAATGACTTATGAAACACCAATGATAAGCTTCTCTACGTCTTTACCGTACTGAATATTCCTGCCCATAGAGAACAAACTTCAGGCCTTATTCCATTAACAAGAAACTGGCTGCTTACCTTCCACACAGTGCTCCACGTCCTCCAGGTTGCGCAGGGTAATCCTCATCAGACTTGAGTTGAGCATAAGTTCGTTCTTGTGTTCTGGTCCCATGGACTCCGGGGCGGGGTTGAGAAAGAATATGCGAGTGTCGCCCGTGGCTACCTGGTTGTCGCAGATGCCAGGGTTGCCAAAGCCACCGATCATCAACTTGTTGCCGCCATCCAGGAGAATTTCACGGTTGACATTGGACTTCCCTTTCAAGTAGCGCCACACCCTCACCTTCAGTCAAACAAGAACAAAAAGATGGCACACTTTTTTAGCATTTTGTCAAAAGTAAAATCTTATTTTCATTTATAAGTGCCTACATGGCTGCTGTTAGAAAATGTCCAGATGTCCCTGTCTGGCTCTGGGAAATCTAAATCAGGATTTAACCTAGAATGTTATTGACACATGTGCAAGCAAAACATCCACTGACATTGTGGGTTATAACAGAGATTCTTATTCTACTTTAATAAATCTCATACAAAAGATTCAGGTACAGATTTTGTCCAGCCACTGGAAACCAAAGATGCTACATCACAGGAAATGCAGCAAAGGCTGCTTTCTGCACAGTCATGAGGAAGCTCGCCCCTTCCGCTCCATGTTAGCTGTCCTGTCTCATTTCAGCACTTGGTGGTGGTTTCTGTTTCCAGAATGAGAGCCATGTGCCTCTAATCTACTCCATTCATTCACTGGGAGACGGGAAGCCAGTGGGCACTGAGGAAAAGAGCAGCAAGGGAGCTGACCAAACACAACTTGTTTATTTTGACAGATTATGGAGAGGTCTACCACAAGTCCATGATCAGGCAAAAGTTAGCTTCACAATGACTGGCCACAGAATGAGGACAGAGGAAGGCTGCTTCCTGAATGAAAATTTGCTTATTTGAGGAATGGTGGATGTTTTTTGTTTTTTTTCCACCATGGCCATTATGTTGTCCGTCAACCGGAGACATAATTTCCTGATATAAACAGCATCTGAAAATGTAGAGTTTCAGGTCTATCATGCACAGTGACTAATGACAATGTAATGCATGATTACACATCTTTATTGCTTTGGGCACACCTCTCAGCACTTATCAGTTTTTTCTCCTGAGAAAAAAAAACAGTTTTATTGTCTCTTATAATAATATAACAGTGACCTGCAAATAACTGTACTACTCTTTTGGTTGCTTAAAATATTTCTGTGGTGCTTTGCAGCGATGTTATTACATATTATGGACTTTTTTTCATCACTGTTATAGCCACAAGTCATAAACCTCAAGTGTGGGATGCAAGTGGTGGCATTTGTCTGCACCACTTCAGAGTAAATCAAGATTCAGAACAGCATTTTTGCAGCCACTGGCAAATGATAAGTTGCATGTTTTCACATTTCATGACTAGAAAATCAAGTGAGAGCTACGGCCAGGGTCCACCGAGGGCCCGCTCTTCTGCTGCAACATGTTTGGGATGATTACATGGTCGGTCAGGCCTCCCCTGTAGCTATATAATTGGTAAGTGGAAATAAAAAAAACACAACATCTATCTATTTCTGAAGGCAAAGTGGATTCACTGTCAGCGTCCATGTAACCGCTGCCAAACGCTTCTGGATGAATGAGTTTGTAAAATGTTTTTCAGGCAAGCCTCTGATGCCGCTGAGAGAGTTGGAACAAACAAAACTCGGTGCTAATGGCTTCCATCAGCTACACGAGGGGAAATCTATTAAATGATAATGTGACTTCTTGTCGTGTTGCTGCCGCGCAGGAGGCAGGTGTTTTTTCCTTGAAGCAGTGCTCTCCCGTGGACACTTCACTTCACCGTTTCAGGAACCACATTAAAAACACTTACCTTGCACGAATAGGTGTTGTGAACCGGGTCCATGTTAATTATTTCGTCCACGGTGCCGGTCAAAACTATGTTGGCCTCTTCTTCCCTGTCCTCCAAGTCTTTCTCCGGGCAACTTGCGGCGCAGCGCTGCCACAGAGCCACGAGCAGCCCCGCCAGGAGCAGCGCTGTCCGGCCGGCCCGGACTGTCCGATGGGAACCCATGAGCACCGCAACGGATGTAACCCGAAAAAAGTAAACTTTCCTACAATTAAATTTCACCTGACAACAAACTCCAAACTCTTTCGACTGCGTTTAAATGTTGCACCGAGCCTCCTTTCCACTACTTCCCTTAAGGACTACCAGTGTCTCTTTCACTCTGCAGCCCTGTTCCCCGCATCTGCAGCCCGGGTTAAAAATCCCTCTCTGCCGCCGCCGGCTGGGAGACCAGGAGGGAAGAGTGGAAGGAGGAGGAAGGAGGAGGAAGGGGCAGGGAGCTCTCTCTCCAGGAATGTAACCGCACTTCTGTCTCCCCCTCTCTTTTCCCCTGTCTCTCTCTCTCTCTCTCTCTCTCTCTCTCTCTCACACACACACACACACACACACACATTCACACTCACAGTGACGCTCCTGGATTTGCATGCAATCTGAATTGCTGATCCCACAAGTGAGGGTGAGGTGGGTGGTGGTGGTGGTGGGGTGGGGCAGGAGGGCTGCGCGCTGTGATGCCTGTAGAAAGTGGCTGTCCAACGCCGCCCCCAGTCGGACATAAAGTGTCTCTACCTCTGGTCCTCATCAGTGACAACCCCCCCTCACCACCACCACCACCACCACACCCCGAGACCCTGCAGATGTAGTTAGGAGCAGGCAGGGATCCCATGCACTCTGACAGTCTCTAATAAGGTTCACATGGTATATTAGACATTCATTAGATGGGTGGGATATGCAGCTCAACCTCTAGGTCTACAACACTTTAGCCTCATAGTTTATTTATTGACTATCATTTATCATATTGAGTAAAATAGCCTATTTGTAGTCATGGCATATTGCTCCACTTCTCCACCCACCCCCAACCTCCCCAGTTTTGAAGTTCTGGTTCAAAGTTATATTAAATGTATTTCCTTTTTTGATGCCACTGACTCCCCTCAGATCTGCAAGGCAGGACGAAGCAGAGCTCAGATTCTTAAAGGCTTTAGGACCAATTTTACCACCAGCATAAGTTAAACGTATCTTTATGAGAAAGTAGGCCTGCCCTCCAACTTATTCCAACCTCTTCAGAATTTGTTGAAGTCCAATATGGAATATTTTCAACATTAAAAAAAAAAAAAAGAGCGGTATGTGCTGTACTGTTGTCTCTCGTGGTGATTTGTTGAAGAATAAACTATCTTCCCTACACCATGTGTCCATGTGTGGGAGGTTAAACCTTGTCTTTTTAATACAAGACAGGGAGGAATGAGTTATAACAGTAATCCGTTATTAGATGCAGATACTCTCCTAAGGTTTTTTTTCTAATCTAGACAGGGCTTTGTAGGATTTATAGGATTTGGCCATAACAACTTTATAAGGCAATAATATTTGCCTTACAGCTTGTTTCACTGTCACAAGATGGCTAGAAGAATTAATTTATGCAGCTTTAAATTGACAATGCATAATGTAACATTTGGACGTTTTTCAAGGGCCCAAATTTGCATTATCCAACGTCCTACTATTTTAAAAATTGGACTTAAGTTCCCAATTATAGATTCAGGTACTTTAGTTGGATCCTTAGATTTCACCGTAGCACTGGTACAGAGTAACTCTGATTCACAGTTGTAATCTCTTCAAAGCTTTATCAAACTTTGATTTTAGGTATTAACTTTGGTGTCCTGGACACAATGATTTGGAAACTATAAGCTGTACAACTATGACTACTGTGTGCACCTCAGTGGTTGAACATGCATGTAAAAACTGAACTCTACAGCTGAAAAAGGCGAATACTAAACTCACACTATGTCATATACCATCAAAGATTCCCCTCATATCGTAAAACTTCCCATGTTTAAATCTGTAAATGTTACCATATGGCTATTTTGTTAGAGCGCCTATTTAGGAACAGACAGTGCGTAAATTTCCACTCCTCAAAAGCTGTAATTTTAACTACCCTTCTATTCCTGGGAAAATGACAGGTTTGGTTATGCACAGTTGCTAGACAGGATATTTGCAGAAATTTGTTCAAGTAGGCCTCAGCTCTGACAGCTGAGTTATCCCAAATACACAACAGTCTTTTGAATTAAAAATGATACGGCTTGTCTGTGCTTTTCATGTTCTTTACACAGATGAGGATCAGATTTCTACAAGAGAATACACCCTGTTACAAGAGAAAACACCCTTCACACACTACATTCCTCTGACCAGGGCTAGTTAAAGCACTATCAAAAACAAATAGTTCTGAATCAATAGATGGCATCATTTGTAGGATGAACAGCCTGAAAGTAAATGGCAGACTGACTTTGTGGTCTTAAAGGGCATTTTCATTGGCTACCACATCTAAATGAGCTTTATTTTATACCAGTAATGACTAGTTTAAACCACAAGATCCCCCAAAAATCAATAACATTTCCACTGTGTGTTATTATGTAATATAATTTATTCTTTGTGTAGGTGTATGTTGTTGTCAGACAGGAATCTCTGCTCTCTCTAACTAACTCATCCTCCTGTTTCTGGTTATACGGAACAGTAATGAGTGTAAATTAGACTTGTAGTGTTTTCGTGTACAAAAAATCAGTCGTATTTCACTCTAAACACACTAAATACAGTATATATACGAAGATATATATATGAGGAAGACCTTTCTCAGTCACGATACTTGCATCGGTAGGTCAACGTATTGACAGGCGTTGTGGCTGATTTGAACCCATCACAACATGGTCTCGAGTTTTGGTTTTCTTTCCCCCCCCCTGAAATTTGCTTCAGTCCAACCGCTCTCATTAACTGTGTTTCCTACGACTGCAGGCAGCCGTTTTTCCACACTATAGTTCAGGTGAAGCCACAATTTGCTAGCTGTCTAGCTAGCACCAAACAGTAGACAAACAAAGTTAGCAACTAGCTGGTGAACATTAGCAGCTAGCAGATAAATACCTGAATCGTTTCCTTAGCCGTTAGTGTGGAAACTAAACCAGAGCTAAGAGTAGAATGAACGTTAGACTTACATTTATCAGGTGACCAGTTACAGGAGTCCAAATGAGCGCTAATCACCAGCTGCGAGCAGGTGCTGTTTTCACCTCTTCAGCTAGCTAGCGGGAAAGCTAGCTACTGTCGCGGGAATGAGCACAGAGGTGGTTTTGAGTACTTCGGCAGGTGTTAATGTCTGTTGTCACAGCGATAGCTTCACAACCACACAATATACAGTCACAAAACTTTACAGGTGTACCGCTGAGATTAAAATGAAGGCAGAGTTAAAAGATGGGCGTGGTTCGACCCATGATAATAATATGGTAAAAACTACCAAGTACTTTGTTAATTAATAACTACTAAATACTAATAATATAGTAATAACTACAGAGTACTCATGTAATATAGTAGTAATGACTACTGAGTACTCATGTAATAATGTAGTGATAACTACTGAGTACTAATATTGCAGTAATAAGTAATTAGTACTCATGTAGTAATGTAATAATAATTACTGAGTACTCATGGATGGGATATTCACCATGTTGGCAAGATTTCTAGTGTGTGTGTCTGTGCCTGCTGGATGCCTAGGGCAGTTGTTTGCTACCATGTTAAGTATTGTGTTGATTTTACAGTGTGTTCCTCTGTCGCCCAGCAACCTGAAAGGTTAATACAGCAGGTAAATGACTTGCAACTTTCCAGAAAAATTCAACATGAAGAAGGTTTATATGAACTTTTTGGCTCCATTAAACAATTTTATCTCTTTGTAAAGGACTGTGTCTTTTCCAAAGATGTATGTAAAATGTGGTGTCCAAAAACCTGTCAGGGGCAGACGGTTTAATAGTTTTCTGTATTGGGGAAAACAAATCATTAAGATATGTGTTGAGCACTGCTGTAGATTCTGTGTACACATAACACCATTATTGGAACCTCTCTCCTAATGCGAAACTTACCAGAGCATATGAACAATCACGCCTCCCCTCTTCCATTTATCTCCTGACAGCCCTCCTCCTCCAAATATTTCAACACAAAAGCCCCTGAAAGTAAACAAGTTTTAACAAGTATTTGATTGAAAGAAGACATTTCATAGGCTCTTTTGTGAATCAAAGTGTAGGCAGATGCAGTTACAGCAGGAGATAAAGACGAGCAGGGGAGCAAAGACATCAACCTACATACCCTCAGAGGGGATTTACTGGCTGACATGGAGACAGTGCAGGCTACTGAAAAAGGGCGTCTTTCTTGTGTCACGTATGTCAGTTTTACACACTGAGCAAAACTAGTCGGTCTATTTTAAACAGTAATTGGCAAGAGAAGGTAATGATTTGAAAATGTGAAATACTGTATCTGCATGGAATAGTGTCTCTCAGCAGTGTCATACAACCTTAAAAACTGTGGTGGTCAATCTGTAGTTTTCACAGTTATGACAGTGATGGATGCAGACTGAGCCTTTTATTACAATCTATTTTGATGAGGTATACTTATGTTGATGGTTTACACAGAGGAAGCCATCGCAGCTGGAAAAAGTTGACTCTGTGTTCAGCCGTGTGCCATTGGAAAGAAAGAGGTGTAATCTGAGAAGCAACATTAGCAGCCAAATCGTATGCAGAGCTGCAGGGGCTGCATTTCACCGACAGGCAGCTGCACTGCTGCATCCCTGTGTCTCACTGCATCATAGACAACCGCAGAATCACTGTGCAGCGCAGGATCGAAAACCAATCCAGCCTCTGAGTCTTTGTGTTTGAGTCATGTGATAGCTTACATGCCACATAAATAATGCACCACTCCTGCTAAAGTTATTCTGCGTCTTGGCATTCAATTTTGTTTCCTCTTCTCATTGCTAATCCTGATAGTGCCTGCTCATTTCCTCTGTTTACAAGTCATGTTTTACATTGCTCTTATAGATAATGTACATGCATACTCCTCTTGGCATTGCACAATATGCAGCAGACACAAAAGTACAAACATACGCTGAGACATTCCAGGGTTATCACACAAGGATGCTGTAGTTCTTGTTTTTCCAAGGCCCAGTCCACTTTATCTGATATCAGCATGAGAACAGGGGAGCGAACCTCGCCTGCCTGGCATCTATCTCAGGTCACAGGCTCGGTGTCCAGTTTCCAGCCTTC